ATTCATTAATGCAGCTGGCACGACAGGTTCCCGACTGGAAAGCGGGCAGTGAGCGCAACGCAATTAATGTGAGTTAGCTCACTCATTAGGCACCCCAGGCTTTACACTGTATGCTTCCGGCTCGTATGTTGTGTGGAATTGTGAGCGGATAACAATTTCACACAGGAAACAGCTATGACCATGATTACGCCAAGCTTGCATGCCTGCAGGTCGACTCTAGAGGATCCCCTGAAACCGCACCTTTGCAGCCACAGCCGCAACGAAACCTGCAGCAGCAAAAGCAGCAGCACGAAACGCAGTAAAAAGCGCAGCAGCATCACAGCAGGTCGCTAGCACCAGCAGCAACGCCGTGAATTCAGGGAAGCGTCTAGCAGCAGCAACAGCTGGGGCAGTAGCAGGTGCAGCAAATGCAAAGTCAACTGCCCTACTTGCTGATTATACAAGTAAGCGAAAATAAATGAGGCCTCCAAACAGCAGACTAGAAGCCGGAGGGCCCCCACTGGCAGAAGATTTCCAATGAACTCTTTCTGAAAAAAAATACAAAAAGAGCAGCTAATGCTGCTGCTCCTCTTGTGGTCGTTGCCTCTGCTGCTAGTACCATTGCTGCTGCCGTTGCTGCTACTGTAAGTGCTTAGCTTACCCTCAGCAAGTCTATCAGCAGCAGTTGTGCTACACATCTTGCTGCGACATCCTGCGGATCAAACGGAAGCCTGAGCGGGGCCATCAGGTGGCCGCCAACGGCCGTCGGGGTCCGGCTGCTGCTGCTGCTGCTGCTGCTGCTGCAGATGGACTCTGGCAGACAGCGCAGCAGCAGCTGCCGGTCTTCAGCAGGCAGGGGCTCCGTGCCTGCTGGCATTTTGCTGCTGCTGCTGCGGAGACCCTCCTGCAATAACCAGTCAAGCGGGTGGCCAAACGAAGGCCCTGGGGAATCATCCCGTTGCCGATGCTGCTTTCTTTGCTGTTGTTGCTGCGGCAGGGGCTGCTGCGGCTGCTCCTGGTGTCGTTGCTGCAGATGCCGCTGCTGCTGCTGCTGCTTCTCTCGCTGCCGTTGCTTTTGCTGCTGCTGTTGGTGAGCCGCTTCAGCAGCGGCTGCCGCACTGGGGCCTAGATCTTGTGTCTCAATTGAAGAGAAGTAGAGACCAAAAGACAAACGAAGGGCCTGGGTCGTCACAGCCGCTCTCGCCAGAAGAGCCCGCGGGGCCGAATGGCTGAAGGCGTCCTACGGGCAAAGGAGAAGACAGCAGCAGCAACAGCAGCAAAGATAAAAAAAGATCTAATGCGCAGAGAAGCGCATGCAAGAGGTGCCAGATGTGCGTGCATAGAGTTGTTCGCGAAGCAGGAGCAGCAGCCGCAGTTGGTGCTGGTGCTGCTGCGGGTGCACCAGTAGGCGCAGGGAAAGGGCTGGAACTCACTGCTACGGCACCGGCAACAGCCAGCCATTCTGCTGCTGCCTCTGGCTGCTGCAGGTACTGCTTCAAAGACTGCAGCAGCCGGCGAAGCCCCTCCACGCTGAGACGGGCCCCACACTCCGTAGGAGGGTCGCTAAGCCCTCCTAGCTGCAGCAGCAACGAGACAGAAGTAGCAGCAATGCAGTAGCAGCAACAAGACCGCAGCAGCAACAGCAACAGCAGGCGCGGCAACCTCCGGGACATGTAGCTGTAGCTGACTGTGTTCCTCCGGACGCAGACGGCATTGCAGCAGCAACAGATGCCACAGCAGCAACCGTAACAGCAGCAGCAGCAGCAGCAGCAGCAGTAGCAGCAGCAGTAGCAGCAACTTCGGCAGAGTTTATTTCTGTGTCCTTTGCTGTTGCTCCAGCAGCAGCAGCAGCAGCAGCAGCAAACGAGACACAGCCGGCCCGGAGAAGCTTGGTGGACACAAACAGCCGCAGCAGCAGCAGCAGCAGAAAACAGGTACCGAGCTCGAATTCACTGGCCGTCGTTTTACAACGTCGTGACTGGGAAAACCCTGGCGTTACCCAACTTAATCGCCTTGCAGCACATCCCCCTTTCGCCAGCTGGCGTAATAGCGAAGAGGCCCGCACCGATCGCCCTTCCCAACAGTTGCGCAGCCTGAATGGCGAATGGCGCCTGATGCGGTATTTTCTCCTTACGCATCTGTGCGGTATTTCACACCGCATATGGTGCACTCTCAGTACAATCTGCTCTGATGCCGCATAGTTAAGCCAGCCCCGACACCCGCCAACACCCGCTGACGCGCCCTGACGGGCTTGTCTGCTCCCGGCATCCGCTTACAGACAAGCTGTGACCGTCTCCGGGAGCTGCATGTGTCAGAGGTTTTCACCGTCATCACCGAAACGCGCGAGACGAAAGGGCCTCGTGATACGCCTATTTTTATAGGTTAATGTCATGATAATAATGGTTTCTTAAACGTCAGGTGGCAC